TAACCCTAACCCTAATCGTAACCCTAACCCTAATCGTAACCCTAACCCTAACCATATCAAATAGTGACCAGGGTACATTCCAGTATACCGGACCGTACCCAGGGTACGTTCCGGCAGTACCCTGGGGGACATAGACCCTATGAGCCGTAATAGGTGTATTGACGTTAGGGCCCAAGGATAGAGAACATGGGTCCCAATAAAACCAATGTGTCTAACCCTAACCCTAATCCTAACCCTAACCATAGCCCTAACCCATTATATTGATGTAAATGACATTGGTTTTATTGGGACCCATGTTCTCTATCCTCGAACCGACGTTAGTCACACAGCCTGGTCGGGTTACTGCCGGCGGGGGGCCTGCGGCAGTCACTGTACGCGGGCTATAGGGCCCTAGAGCTATACTCTCAGCAATACTATTACTAATATAATAGTAATAGTAATAGAATGTTCTATAGCCCTGCGGCAAGTGTACGCGGGCTATACTATTACTAGTATTACTAGTACTACTACTAGTAGTAGTAGCTAGTAGTAGTAGTAGAGGTAGTAAATTAGCCTACCCCAGAATTACATCCGATGTCTAATGCGACCAGACCAGTATCCTTTGATATATCCGGGAAACAGTCGTGAAGAAGCGTTGGTGGTATTTGATCCAGCCTACAATTAGGCGGATTGAAGCTATAATAGTTTATAAAATTGCCGAATCTAGCCGATCCAGGTTCAAAGGATTTCTCTTCCACGGACTCATCCATGTTGTAGGCCTATCTTGTATCTTGTATCTTATTGGCTCCCTCTCTTGTAGTTGTATTTCACAATGAACTCGATTCAACGAAGAATAGAAGATGTTGAATTTTTCCGGTGTGCACCAAAATGTAGAGATTTCGGTTACACCAAAGGCTCTATTTTACAAACCACAACACACGACGGGGCGCGGCCATTTTGGAATAACGGAAAGCCTGAATCGGAACACCAAGTTACACACAAATTCCACTTAAGAAATTAATACGCGAAATCAAATAAGGGAAAAATTGAGCCATAATAAAATACAGGTTAAAAAGATAATGAGTAAATAAGTAAAACGATAATTAGAATAGAATACAAATGGAAAATTACTCGGCTAGGACAGCTGACGCAACATTAGATCTGTATTAGTAGTATCCTATATATATGCTCTGAGCGCGAACGTGGTGATGGGAGGGTGCTCTTCATTCGTTTGCCAGTGAGTTTAGCATCAGAACACCTGCCGTCAGGTGAGCGCTGTCGCTCTGCGGCACTTGTTAGTAGAACGATTCTTATTTTTACTTTCAGATCAACAGGGGGGCCATGGCCCCATTTGCCCCCCCCCTAACTACGCCACTGGTTTAGGGTGTTAAGAAAATAATAGCATATATCAATTTTAGCTGAAATGATAATTTTATTGTCCTATGTTTATGTCCGCTTTCACATGGAACCGCACATGTAAGAACAAGGAAGGGTATAAAAAATTCATATACCTGTCAGTTAATTCCATTAGCTCATCCTCAGCTGTCTGTCTTAAAATATCACTACTATAGTTGTAAAACTCCAAAATCATGAAAATTTCAAAAGGTATAAAGTGCAATAACCTCAGTTGTGTTTATAAGTAATATAACATATTATATTTCCATGGTGACTAAATGTTCTAGCAGAGGGAACAGTTTTATAAAAGGTTATTTTCATAAAGTTTATTATTTGCAAGTTGTCTTTAACTTGATGTTGATCGAATAGTGTGTTGACATATGTTATGCCTACAGTGCCAAAGGTACTGCAACGTTTTAGTCAGGATTTGTCAATAATAAACTTATATAGACACTGTGATTCCAGTACATGATTATATGTGGGAGAGAATTTTAAATTCATCTATTGCCACACAATAGATTCCATGTGCTATCAAATTTTTCCTCTATTGCAAGATGGGCCCATATTAACATAATGCTCCCTTGGTATAGTAACCTCTCTATATATGATTTTATTAAGGTTGCAAAGGCATTTCCCTGTGTATTCAAAACTCAGCCTATTTAGAACTTGTCTGTTATACTATGATTGCAACTGTAATTCCTGCAGAGAACTTAGCTACCCCTTATCAATACATAAAGGGGAACTCTTTAGCAATACAAAAATACAATATTAGTTTTCAAAGGAAAAGGAAAATGGAAAACGTTAAAATGACAAAAAAGTTTTGATGAGATTTTATGCTCTTCAATCTTCAATGGTTTACTCCCAATAAATGCTGGTTTTATCCACACTGGGAGTAATTACTAGGGTATCTGAATCTATATCAGGTGAGTTTCTAGAGAGTACTTTACTACTGAGCAAAGTCCTCCAAATGGTGTGTGCACATCAATGTTATTTCTTGCAAAGTGAAGCCACAGCAGATTCAATTATTCAGGTAATGCAGTAGTGATACATGTAGTAGTAGTGATGCAGTAGTCATGCAGTTGTGCAGTAGTGTAGAGTTCAGTAGAGAGTTTCAATTGTTGACAGATCGTGGAATAAAGGAGTTAAAAAAAATATTGGTATGCTATATAGGTTTTATGAGTCTTTCAGTGTCTCTTCATGTAATGGGTGGCCTAAAACTTAAAGAGAAGAGGGAACTAGGGAGTTGAACGCGGGTGTGAGCAGGGATCACCATCATGCCATTCATGATCTTGTAGAGAGTCTGCTCATTTATTCTTTCAGAGAGTGATTTCCACTCAAGGTCATGGAGCCTTGCTGTTACACTGCTATCTATTCAGTAGTATTTTCTGACAAAACGTGCTGCTCTACCTTCCTACCTACCTACCTACCTACCTACCTACCAGGGGTGTAACGATTCACTGATACATCGGTGAATCGCGATACAGCGGCCCACGATGCAATAACCGATTCGCCTATTATTACGGATAATCTCCTGTAAATGCCGATCAAATGCTCTTCTGCAACACACAATGACATAAGTACACCTCACGCACCCCACTGTGCACAACCAATAATAAGTTATAATATAAGGATAACTCTAGATAAAGATAACACAGTATATTCTTGTTTTAATGTTTGTGCACAGCGCCGTCACGGGCGTGCTCGCAGCATTTGAACGGCATTTACTGAAAAATATCAGTAATATTAGGCAAGAGAGAGCAAAGAAACATTAAGACTTTGGGGGCTGTAGTACAGTACAGTCAGTAGGTACTGTGCAGTCTGGACTCTGTAGTGTAGTGTACTGTGTAACTAATTACTATGATTCATGGATATAAGCGCTGACCAAAATTCATTTTCGCTAATGCAAATGCGCAAATGACGTTAAAACTAGGGCTGTAACGATCCACCGAAATCGAATCGGATCGAGATTCTCTTCTCTCGATCCGATCCTCGATATTTTTCCCCGTATTTTCGATACCACTTTTTTCCTCCAATAGATGGCGGCACTACGCTATATACTATGGCTTTGGCCGGCTAGTAAATTAGTAGCTCTAGTACTATAGCCCGCGTACAGTTGCCGCAGGACTATAAAACATTCTATTACGAATGCTTGGGACCAACTTATTCACGGTTACTCCCGGCTATAAAACGTCTGTGGTAGGCAATTAATGCTTCTTATTCGAAGTGAATATGTCTTAAGTTATATCTGCTACTAAAATTTAACCTCTAACTATCGTTGAAATGGTCTACTTGCAATATTTCTTGTGAACAAACATTATTTACGAACTTCAAACGGCCATTTTTGGTGGCGCTGCAGCAGGCCAGCAGCGCCAGTCAGCGGGAACTATGTATTTCCGCACTTGGAGGGGTGGGCGGGTTGCAAAATTATTTTTCCCACTTGAGTTCCGGACCCCAATCTTTCCACAACCAATCAGCGCACTCCATTCACTCGACTTCGCTCTTATTTAGCATATGTCATGTGTGATTTTCAATAACCCTGTATAGCCGAGCAGGTAGCGCGCCGGCGTTACGTCTCAACGGTCGTTGGTTCGAATCCCGTATGTTTTTTAATTATTTTCCTGTTTTTTGCATCTTTATCCATTTAACTATTGTTTTCCAATTAACGCAAATATTTACATGATTTATTTACAACAATTTAATTAAGTTTTTAATTTTTTATTTAATTAAATTTATTAGTGTTAATTAAATTTAATTAGGCTTAGGGTTAGGGTTAGGGTTAGGGTCCGGAACTGCAGTGGGGAAAAAAATTTTGCGGGCGGGTTGTGTTGGTTGTACAGACAAAAACATTGCTGTTGTCAAGTAACAAATTTTAAAATGATCAAAAAAGATTGTAATATTAGTTTTGTCATGAAAGATGAACAAATTACTATTATTAGTTTAATTGTTACTTGACAACGACAATGTTTTTGTCCACAACCACAGGCACTTGGAGCGTTTCAATAAAATATAATGCTAAATAAATACGAAATCTATTTACTACCAATGTTTATTTGATCAAATTTACCAATATGACTATATATTTGCAGGCTTTCAGATATGAAAAGTACAGGAGGACTACTAATGACGCCCCTAGAACACCATAGTGTTCAACATAACAGATTAACAGTAACACACAGGCGTACTCAGGTTATTATGATTGATCTATAACACTTTTTAGGGATGAATCATACTTTCTGATGTTTAAATAACACGCAGAATTCGATCGGGCATCCAAACTGTTTGGCAAGGGCGTTCAAATTAAACGCACACACTGGCTAAAGTCTGACATCTCAAACAGTGACCTAAGCCGTGTCTTATATTGTAAAGCAAACTATATTACAATGGTATTAAATGAAGGTAGCTGTTATAGGCTGTTGGAGTGTAAAATGAAAATTTGTACATTCTAATCCCCAGGGCTTGAAACTAACCTAAAATGTTCACTAGCCAGCAGGGCTAGTGACCTGTAAAATCTACTAGCCCTTAAAAATATCTCCCAGCCCTTACTTTTCTGAAGGCTCGCGCTGAGGCTACGCAGTGAGTAAAATTTTGCCATTTGCGGGGAGGTGGGGGGGGGGTGAGGTGGGCCTGATCTGGGTTTTGATTTTAGACGCTCCGAGATGCATTCTGCGAAATTCCTTGACTGTGAAAATTTAGATTCAGCATATATTCAGTATATATATATATATATATATATATATATATAAATATACATAATATATATATTATATATCAAGAGCTAATAAATACCTAGAGTGTACAACGGGAAATAGTGCCTTTCACGGCAATATTATTCTACTTTGTATGGCGGTTCTAGACTAAGTTCATGGTATTGCGTTAAGCAGCATCCTTTGCTCTCTAAATAAGACCAACCGCTTGTCTCTACGATACTCCTAGGCCGAGATATTGGAGCGTAATCATGCCTCCCACAGGCCTCAGTAGAATAATATTGCCGTGAAATAGCACTATTTCCCAGTTTTTCCATTGTACACTCTAGGTGTATATTAGCTCTTGATATATATACCAGTGCTCAATTTTAAGGTTTTTTTTGGGTTGTCCGAGACAACCAAGAGAGTAGCATATGGTTGTCCCTCAAGGGTTTTGTTGTCCGGATATTATTTAAACCATGTGCTGGCATGCACTCTGCTCACGTGATTGCTCAGTGCTGTAAAGCAAAAGGCAAATCATGTACATTTTGTACGTATTGCAGTGACAGCAGACATGGCCATTCGCATTGTTTCACTCATTATATCAAGAGCAGATAAAGAAGGTCTTTCTTTATCTAGATAAAGATAAAGAAGGTCCTTCTTTATCTGCTCTTGATTATATGAAGATAATAAAATATTGGTAATGTGGTAAATGATGCTGGGATCAATGACGTATAATAATTGAATTAAAGTTGCATGAAATTTATTTCATATAACACCTACATTAAGTTAACTAATGTGTACTAATGTAGCTAAATAATACTACTAACATTACTAACATTACTAACATTACTAACACTGTGTCAAGTCACAGATGAGTAAAAATTGAAA